AGCGACGAGGTACATCGAATTAGAGGAGGAGCGGCTCATTCTGTCACGAAAGCACGGAGTGACAAAGGCATCGGCGCCGAAAGAAGCTCCTGTGGCAAAACCTGCGGAGCCAAGACAGCATCTCGACCGCAATACGAGCCAAGGTAGAAAGCCGGCCACGTTCGTCATGAATAGTAAAGGCACGACGCCCAAACAATGGAACAAATGGGCGAGAGATATAGATGCCGTTACTACAGGGCCGGTGTATTGCGAGTATCATAAAAGCAAGGCCCACGCGACGGAGGACTGTCGCTACCTGCAAGGACTCCTCATGGCTAAGTATAAGAGCGGCGGCATCACCATCGAATGCGATCGTGCCCAAGGGAGTAATAAAAACCAAAGACATAACGAAACAACCGCTCGACAATTCCTTCAGGACCGAGCTGAAGGAGCCACTGCAAACGACGACCAAACAAACGATCCGGCCAAAAGACAACGCCAAGGCAAAGCTATCGCTGACGCTCCCAGCATCGTCCGACAAATTCATATGATCATGGGCGGCCTCCAAAATTGCAATGATTCAGTCTGTTCGATCAAGCAGTACCGAAAGAAAGCCGAAATGATGGAGACGTGGCCAGTAACGCCGAGCCAACCTTCCGTGGAGATCGAACCCATTTCTTTCACGAAAGACGACCTCGTCGGAGTCGATCTCCCCCACAACGATCCGCTAGTTGTCGAGCTAATCGTCAGCGATAGCCGAGTTACGCGCGTCATGATCGATACAGGCAGCTCAGTCGACCTAATCTTTAAAGATACCCTCACCGCGATGAACGTAGCTGACCAGCGTATAAAGCCGCGCTCTCGACCATTGGCCGGGTTTGATGGCGACTTCATCATGTCTCTCGGTACTATCAAACTACCCACGTTTGTCGGCGGTACGATCGCCTGGGTTAAGTTCGTTGTCATCGATAAACCGACGATATACAATGTAATCTTGGGGACACCTTGGCTTCATCAAATGCAGGCCGTCGCGTCCACCTACCACAAGTGTGTCAAGTTTCCCACTCATCAGGGAATCTTCACTCTCAAAGGAAATCAGCAAGTAGCGCGGACGTGTTTCCTGATCGAACACAAGAACCGCGCCGAAAAGAAATTATAGCAACCAAAGAAAGAGGAGCCTGCGCCCAGCTCCGTAGTAGTAAAGACACCGGGCAAATCCTACGAGGAATCGGAGCTAAGTCGAACGGAGCTTGTGAATATCGACGTGTCGGATCCACTGCAATGTGTTAGCATCGGGGCTGAAATTAGTCCAGAAATCAAAGCGACCCTTGTAGCCCTCCTCAAAGAGAATTCGTCAACCTTCGCTTGGAGCGTTGAGGACATGCCGGGAATCGACCCCTCGATAACGTCCCACGAGCTAGGTGTGGATCCGACATTCAAACCTGTTAAGAAGAAAAGATGCAAATTGGGTCCAGAACGAGCCAAAGCAGTAAATGACGAGGTCGAAAAGCTACTAGGCGCCGGCTCCATCATCGAAGTCCGATATCCAGAGTGGTTGGCAAATCCCGTCGTAGTCAAAAAGAAGAACGGTAAGTGACGGGTGTGCGTCGACTTCACCGATCTGAACAAGGCGTGTCCAAAAGATAGCTACCCTTTGCCGCATATCGACCGGCTCGTCGAAGCCACAGCAGGGAATGAGCTCCTATCGTTCATGGACGCTTTCTCTGGATACAACCAAATTCTCATGCATAAAGACGATCAGGAAAAGACGTCCTTCATCACCGATCGTGGAACGTACTGCTACAAGGTGATGCCTTTTGGTCTGAAAACGCCGGAGCAACGTATCAGTGCCTCGTCAACAAAATGTTCGCCGAACAGCTCGGCCGAACTGTCAAAGTCTACATCGACGACATGCTCGTTAAGTCATTGAAAGCTGACGACCACGTTCAGAACCTCCGACAATGCTTCGACGTGCTAAACAAATACCAAATGAAGTTGAACCCGGCCAAATGTACATTCGCGGTAACATCCGGCGAGTTCTTGGGCTACGTCGTCACCAAGAGAGGGATAGAAGCCAACCCAAAACAAATTTGCGCTATACTGCAGTTACCCTCTCCCAGAAACGCCAAGGAAGTACAACGGCTGACCGGCCGGATCGCGGCTCTTAATCGATTCATCTCGAGGTCGATGGACAAATGTTTGCCGTTCTACAACCTACTAAAGCGGAGAGACAAGTTTACCTGGGACGACGTAAGCGAGAAGGCATTCGCCGAGCTTAAGACGTATCTGACGACGCCATCGGTACTCGCAAAACCTGAGAACGGCGAAACTTTATTCCTATACATAGCTGTATCCAGTTGGGCCGTCAGCGGGGTATTAGTACGAGACGACCGCGGCGAACAGAGACCAATCTTCTATGTAAGTAAATCGCTAATCGAGGCCGAGGTCCGCTATCCTACAATGGAAAAAGCCGCGCTAGCAGTCGTTACGTCGGCGAGGAAGTTGCGCCCCTACTTCCAGTCTCATACCGTGGCCGTGCTTACAAACCAACCTATCAAAACCGCGTTACACAGTCCGAGCCTGTCTGGAAGAATGACCAAGTGGGCCGTCGAACTCAGTGAATACGACATCGACTTCCGGGCTCGACCAGCCATGAAATCTCAAGTCCTCGCCGACTTCATCATCGAATTACCAGCAGTGAACCCGGACGACATCACACTAAGCACCAATCAAACGAATGGTACTTGGACCCTCTATTCAGACGGCTCGTCCTCTTTACATGGATCAGATGTCGGCATCAGGCTCGTCTCCCCAACCGGCGAAATTTTAGAGCAGTCCTTCCGGCTACGTTTCGCGGCAACAAATAACGTCGCCGAATACGAAGCACTCATCGCCGGACTACGACTCGCAATTGGAATGAACGTCCGACGACTTCGTGCCATGATCGATTCGCAGCTCGTAGCAAGTCAATATAGCGGCGACTACGAAGCAAGAAATGATAGAATGGACGCATACCTCAAGGTCGTCCAGCGTCTGTCCAAACAATTCACAGAGTTCGAGCTAACCAAGATACCACGGGGAGATAACGCTCCCGCAGACGCTCTAGCAGCACTAGCCTCAACGTCCGACCCAGACCTTCGCCGCGTCATACCAGTCGAAAGCATCGATCACCCCAGCATTGAAGGGATCGAATCCGTCAACCTTGTGTGCAGCCGTGCCGCACCAGATCCGATAAGCGACCCCGACGATTGGCGCCTCGAAATACGCGATTTCCTGTCAGATGGGACGGTTCTGGTAGACAAATGGGAAGCACGGCGTCTATGCGCCAAATCATCAAAATACACTCTGTACCGCGAACGCTTACTTCGGTACAACGCCTCCGGGGCAGTACTCAGCTGCCTCCATAAGGTGGACGCGGCAGAAGTCATGAAAGAGACACACGAGGGAGGAGGTGGAAACCATTCAGGAGGACGATCTCTTGCACTCAAAATCAGAAAGCTCGGCTACTACTGGCCGACGATGATCTCGGATTGTAAAAATTACGTGCTCAAGTGCGAGCAATGCCAACGGCACGCCCCCGTCATCCACCAGCCGACCGAACTAATGAAAGCTGGTGCCGCGCCATATCCTTTCATTCGTTGGGCCATGGACATCGTCGGTCCACTTCCAGCTTCGCGGCAAAAACGCTTCATCCTCGTCATGACTGATTACTTCACCAAGTGGGTCGAAGCTGAATCCTCAAGTGGGTCGAAGCTGAATCCTCTGCAACGATCAAAGCCAAAGACGTACAGAACTTCGTTTGGAAATACATCATTTGTCGGCACGGCCTACCGTACGAAATAATCACGGACAACGGCTTTATGCGCTAGCTGGAAAATTCGTCTCAACAAGTCAACGCCGCGTTACCCCCAAGGCAACGGTCAGGCTGAAGCAACAAACAAGACAATACAAACAAAACATGATGGTACAGGATAACAACCTCAACGACGAGATGATGAGACACAACCTCGACGATCTAGAAGAAAACCGCAACGTCGCACTGTGCCGAATCCAGAATTATCAGCTTGCCGCTGTGAAATATTACAACAAGAAAGTCCATAATCGGCATTTTGTCGAAGGCGACCTTGTCCTCAGAAAAGTGTTCGAAAACACGGCCGAACTCAACGCCGGGAAGCTCGGCGCGAATTGGGAAGGTCCCTATCAGATATCGAAGATCGTCCGACCCGGAGACTACGAGCTCCTCACAATGTCCGGTGTCGAAGTCCCCCGCACATGGAATTCGATGCACCTGAAGCGATATTATTATTAAAAAAAAAAAAAAAAGAGCTCGGCTTTACCGACGCCTCACTATGTAATGTGAACTACGAGCGGCTTGATCCCTCCGATCAGAGGGTACGTAGGCAGCCTCATTTACGAGGCACAGCTGCAAATATTAATAAAATCTATCTTTCTAAAGGCAGAAACGAAACGAATTACGTTAGCACCCTGGCCCGGTGTCTAATCGAACAAAAGCCGAGTTCTGTACTCGCAAGACTAAAACGACTGATCATGTAAGCCGAGGCCGAACTCGCAATCACGTTCATTTTAATCATTCGAACAGGATAAGCCGACCCCGGAGGTCGCACCTAAAAATGTTCTGGGCCCGACCCAAACACGATTATCGACCAAGTTATTGAGGTCGTCCTCAATAACTTGCGCGGAACGACCCCGGAGGTCGCACCTAAAAATGTTCTGGGCCCGACCCAAACACGATTATCGACCAAGTTATTGAGGTCGTCCTCAATAACTTGCGCGGAACGACCCCGGAGGTCGCACCTAAAAATGTTCTGGGTCCGACCCAAACACGATTATCGACCAAGTTATTGAGGTCGTCCTCAATAACCTGCGCGGAACGATCTCGACAGTATACGCACAAGAATAAAACGATAAAATAGTCGATAAAAGGAAAAGCCAACAGGAGTGGCACGTCTTACAAAGGCCGACTACGCGGCGCATAATATAAAATTATTACAACAAAAAAATCAAGACGCAGGCTCGTCCAGAGGACGATCCCCGACGTGGGTGTCACCATCACCAATGACTTGGTCGACGGCCTCGACATCACCAGCAACTTCATCGTTAACACCTTCAACCGAAGGCGCAAACTCCTCAACGACGAGAGATCCCTTGAAGAGATTTCCGACGTCATTCCAGCCTTCCTCTAGCTCGGCAATGTCGAACGCATTGACCTCCTTCTTAAGCTCTTCCGCATCAGCTTCAAGCCTCTCGATCACGTCCTTGGAGTTCAAAACGACCTCCCCAGTTTCAGCCAGCGCCTTCAGCAGGTCAACGATCCCGACCGCCTGATTATAATCGAGGAACTTGGGATACGCCGCGTCCCTAGTGGTGAAATACCTCTGAATATGCTCGTATTCGGTGCGCCGCTCCCGAAGCCTTGCCTCCTCGGCTTGTGATTGCTCGGCCAAGTGCTTAAAGTCAACTCGGGACTTTGACAACTCCTCAAGACAACGCTCCCGTTCTGAAAGAGCATTATCCCGTTCTTCCTTCAGTTTGGCGACCTCCTCGCGAAGAAGCTGCACCTCGGAGTTAGCACTTTCCAGACCTCTCGACGCCTGGTCAGCTCTCTTCGTCTCGGCCGCCAAGGCTCTCTGGTGATCCTTCGAGGCCGTGTTCTGTTCAGAAACAACGCGGAGGCGACGCTCGTACATATACGCCATCCTGTCAATTGCGGTAACGGCCTACAGAAGTAAGAGCTTGGTCAGAAAGCAAAGCACTTAACAACAGAGTAAAGCGAAAAATTCTAAAACGTTACCGCAACGGACTTCTTTGCAGCGTCAGTGAACGCCGTTCTCTCCCACATATCTTGGAGCTCGAAGAAAGGAGACGGACCGACGTGAATCTTGCGGAACAGCTCCGCACAGGATGTGGAATCAGTCGAGATATGAACGTTGCGCTCGTCATAATCATATCGCCACCTATAGTCAGGGGCCCAGGCCGTCCTTTGTTTCTTGGTCGGGTCCGAACGCACCGTCTCGGACTCATCCGCAGCCCGCTTTCTGGTCGGCTCGACCTGAGAGTTGTCATACAGAATGACCTCCCTGCCACCTAAGGACGCGTCATGAGAAGTCTCGACAACAGGTAGTTTAGCCGACCGCGCCTCAGCCACCTCCTTCTCCCTTCTCTCCCTCTCTACGTCGGATCTTACGTCCGAACGATCGGCCCCGCCAACACCATGATCGCGTCGATCACGACGGTCACCTTCTTCTCTCCTATCCTGACGACCTGAAGGTCTTCGTTCCCTCTCCTTAGCCTCGTATTCCGCTAAAGAGAGACGCTTCCCCAAGGCCATAGCCTCATCCTCTTCTCGAGACGTCTTCGCCGGCGTCGTAGCAGACTTCTTCTTGTATCTTGATGAGTAGTCACCCACCGCGTCAACATTCAGCTTCCCCATAATCTTTAAAGATGCTGATATGTAAAAAGAAGCGAAGAATATAAATAAATATACGCGCTCGTCGAAAAAGTGGAATAAAGGGAAGGATCGAAGCCAACCTGGATTCTTGTTAGTCTTCCTTGTTTTCGAAGAACCTCCCCTTCGGCTCTTTCCTTTTGGTTTTGAAGAAGGGCGACGAACATGATCTTCTTCTCCAGGCCAAGTATACGGGCACACAGCTAGAATCTTCTTAACGTCGTCGCGAAGCTTCTCAGGGTACGGATCGAAAATCTTGGGACAACGAACTGCAAAAGAAAAGAAACAAGAAAAATAAGTTAGAGAAATAATCAGACGATAAAGGATCGACCTCAGAGGGATAAGCAAACTACCGGGTGAAACAGTCCACCCATGGTAGTTCGTAACCACTACGTCCCCGGCGGACTCATTGTTAACTTTAACAAAGAAATACCAACGAAGCCAATCGTTGGTCTTGCTCTTCGCACCGACGACCAACTTTGGGGTCAGCGAAGACTGGGTATACACCAGGCCGGGCTTGGATTTCCCAAAATTCTTCTTCGTCGTCAACTCCTCGTACAGAGAACAACGAGGCTCAACGCCGCACCTCTCCGCTAGAACGGATCAGACCGTAGGCGTTTCGAATTGCAGCAGGGGATAGTTGCGCAAAAGCCATCTGTCGCCGCGAAGCGTACTGTAAGAGGAAGGCGGGGATCGGGAAGGTCAGCCCACAATCGGTGATATGCTTCTCGTAAACGCAGAGATAACCCGGTGGAGCCGTCCAAGGTCGATCCGAAGCACTTGGAACCATCGTGACGAGATTAGCCGGGGCGTCACAGAAGCTAAGCGAAAGCTCGATCGATTCCTCCGTCGAAGACGACGGGCGAAGATAATCCGCGACACCAGGCGCCGGACCCCTTGGTTGAACGGGAACGTCATCCAGGCGACCTGGAATCATAGACGCCGCACCGCCAGATGGACCCGCTCTAGCCAAAGCAGTCTTTCGTCTGATTAATGGGACGTCGTCTTCGTCCGAAAACGCCGCGTTGCTATCCTCATCACGAAGATACATAGTCGTAACAGGTCTGGTAGTGGCGCTCGGCCCGACAGCCCCTGTTCGACATAAGAGCTCGCGATGTTGCAACTCCGCAGCATCTGCCAAACTCCTCACAACAGACGACGCCGACGTACTGGAAGATCTAGATCTACGACCCCGACGACTATCAGGCGACTCGTTCAGAAAGCAGTCGACAGATTGGACAGCGGAGTCCTCGGTAGTACGAGACTGACGGTGATCGGAGAAAGAATCCCGGGAACCGGAGCTAGAAGACATTATCAGAAAAAGAAAGCGACGAACGGAAGAAAAGAAGAGAGAGAACGGAGAAAAAAAAATACCTTCTGCTGGTGCGGAGGAAGAATGAGAGAAATGAGAAGGGGGCAGAGTATTTATAGAGGGAGTCGGTCGAAGAAAAACCGCGTCATCATTGCGTCTCGAAGAACAGCGTAATCATCACATCTTCGCCGCCTGCAACACGCAAACGACCCGTTTTTCAATGCCTCGGGAGCGGTAGTGGACGAATCAGAAGAGAGCGTCCATCACACGCGCCTCGAGAATACGCGAAGGAAGTCAAAACGAGAACGGCAAAATGATTGCAACCCTAGCCGCGTCATCACTACGCACTAGGGTTGGGGGGCTACTGTTGATGGTGGGTTTTGGGCTCGGGCCCAAACCCCCTTTGAAGGCCCATCATTCCCACGGCCCAGCACTCTTAAAAGATAACCTGAGGCCCGTTTAAGGCCCGTTAGATGCTCCACCGACCAGGAGGGCAAAAAAGACATTTTACACGCACAGGGTACCCTACCCCTGTACCCTATAAATAGAAAAAAGAATGATTGGAGAGGGGATCCCGAAATAACCGCTTTTACAGAGAATATCGTACAACCGTCAGAGCACTTTGCGGCTCGGCTCGTACAACAATCTATTTTTGCAATTGTCGGCTCGTTCTTTAAATAAGAGATTCTTCTTTCGCCCTTAAGACTCCGAATACGTACTTGTGTGATTTTGAGGATCAACAATCACTATCCAGAACAGCACCACACCACTCAAATTTACCCCAAATCTCTCCTCCTTGGCGTCTTTCAAGTGCGATCTCCGCACACCAAATCTTGGTTGAGTATATGTCTAGTTTAGGAAAGAACACAACTAGTTTCTCACCGCAACTCATAGTATATGCCCACCTTGAAATGGTCGGCAGTCTCAGCCAACTCGTCTCAGACAACAATCTTTCCCCACCTTTCACCACTACCCAAAACTTGTGCTTTGTATCATACGCTCTTAATCTGTTCTCGAGACAATCGTAGTAATACAATACATCATCAAGAACACATGCATATTTCCACTTATGAGAATTCAACATCTCCTCCATTTCCCATTTCTTCTCCTTTGGCACATAAACAAAACTATTATCTAAATCCCTCATGTAAATCTTACCCTCCATCACCACACAACCAGACCACAGGTGACCAGTCTTCAAACCCGGCGGCTTCGTCATCTCAGCTGTCTCCCACATTTGTTTCTCAGTATTCAAAACCATAACCCGCTTCGACAAATCATATAGGACCACGATTTCTACGATATGACAAACTGAAAAATTGTTGTAAATAATGATAAGAAACAGAATCAAAAATACAAACTCGATACCAAATTCTAACGAACAAAGAACGATTTGTGTGGAGGCGAGACACTCTTTCCTTAATTCTTTAATTGCCCGTAGTGTGACGGTGTTACGCAATCAGAATCCCAGGGTACAACCACACCATCAACTGTTTCGCAGCACTCAAAAACAAAAGCTAAACGAACCAAAATTCTGTGTTGCACTCTCAGACACAAAAGACAAGAGAAGAAAAGAGAGAATGATTGACTTTTGAATATTGTTATTCGTCTCTCTAGAATGAGTTGCAAAGGTCACGTTTATACCAACCAAACGTAACGGTGCCACTAATGGAGAGTTTTAATTCACGTATCAATATTAGCATTAATCACTAATTTGATCACGTAATTAAAGAGACAAGATATTACACTTTGACCAATTATTATCTTGTATTAGTTATATACAAAGACAAAACATATGGACCAAAAATAATCATCTTTGTTAAGGTTATAAAGCCTCAACATACGAGCCCAAGCCCGACATCTCCTCTAATCTTCAAAGTGGACCTTTTAAAAATTCAAGCTTTTAATCCTTTGTAAGCTAGCCACTTTGAAGCTTCATTTCTCATTCAAACGAACTCCATTTTTGACATTCCAATACACCATCACGTAGTGCTCGCAGCAACGATTTCATCGTGCCCAATAACCGGTCATTCTGATGAACGTCTTCACCGGAAAATCCACCGTAACAATGGTCAACACCATTTTGTCAAAAAACAAGTTCCAACAAATCACACTCTCCGATTACGTAAATCTTCCCATCGATGATACCTGCGACAGTCTCACCCATAGCCTTAGGAATGTTGAAGGAAGGCTGCACTGTATTAGAAGTACAGTCGATGGTTAACACACTGGAAGTCACACGATTACTATAAACGTAAATCTTCGAACCTAAAGCAACAGAGTTTCCATGGGTATGCATAATAGGAAGAGAAGGGATAAGGATAAAGCCTTTACGGCGACGGAGAATGTACCAATGGTAATGACCGTTTTTAGGGTTATAGATGAGTGCATAGAGACAGTGTTCGGTGCAACGTAACAAGGATCGTCTTGTGTATAATTCAGGGGACGCTATGATTGATCGGAAACGTCTGGAAATGAGAGAGATTGTTGGGTAACATGTTCTTGGTACACGCGCTATGATGTCCACGATGATATCATCGGGAAGTGACGTCATCGGAAACGAGTGACGGAAGACACGCGAATCCATAGTTTTGGTTAAATCAACAACAATCGTTGAGACAGAGAAAGCGTAAATCACACACAAAGCTCTAATTTTAGACTCAAATCAACAGTGAAGATGATGCGAGTCAACCACAAGTGATGGGCCATAAGCCCAGTAAAGCCCATTCTCAGCCCACGTTTTCAGAGAAGGACATGCAGTTATGGAAAAAATGATTATTGTGAAGGATATTCATGTATTGTTTAATGAAATTTTAAAAAGTCAAAAATTTAGAACTTAAATTTCGGACATATTGAAATGGAACGAGAGAAAATCCATCCTTAAGGGAGCTAAAAGGTTCAGAAGTAGTAATTGAAATTTCTACCACTGAAATAAAAAAAGCTCCCCAGAGAAGAGTTACTACATTCAGTAAGTAGCTTCAAAAGGAGGAAGAGGAAGACGAACAAGGTTTTTTCTTTCTTATGCGGCAACAAGATCTGGTGTCTCGGCTTCAACAGATAGCAAAGTGGTGTGAACTTTGTCAACCCAACTGTCCAATTGATCCCTCAAAGCCTTGATCTGTGGAATCCCTAGTACTCTCGGTTGCGCCCATGAGACGTAAACTGTTCCATTCACTTGGTCTATGATGCCCTCAATTAGATGCACCTGCATCATTCATTTTCCAGTTAAGATTCTACAGATTTATAAGCATACCCAATCATTCTATGTCTAAGTCAGGAACAAAACCAGTCAAGATCATTTGACAAAACTCTTTCCTTGGCCACAACAGATTTCAAACTGGTAGCTGCTGATTTTGGGGTACTAAAAGAAACAAGCAAGAAAGATGCAAGGAGATACTAATACTTACAGAAAGGCTCTTCATGAGAAGGTGCTCAACATCTTCAATGGAAAGTTTAGTACGCTCAGCGATGATACTCAAAGGGATGGTTCTATCTTCAGCGGGTCGGCTGAAGTAGGGTTTAACATCAACTGTATTAGCACATGATTTTATTTATTCAATTGAAATGGCGTGAGGTACAATTGCCTAGAGAGAAGTTTACCTGAAGATGATCTCGATAAGGCAGAGAATGTTGATCTTTTCCAAAAGCTTCTTCTCGTTCTCAACCAGTGCTGGTTGGGCAATCAAGGATGCGTTGTGCACACGGCATAGTTCTTGATACTGAACTAAATCACCATGGTTGAATGCCTGTAGAATGTGGTAGAGCCATTCCACATTTGTTCCAAGGAGACTTTTCAACTGTCATCAGAGAAATGTTACATGTAAGAGGACCATCTACAATTCTAAGCAAAACTATAACATGAGAGCTAGAAGCTGTCTCCATTCACAAACAGTATCGTAAAATCCAAGTAAGAAGCTGTACCCATTCACAAACAGTATCGTAAAATCCAAGGAGTGGAAGATCAACAAGAAACCTTAGGAAAATATTACAGTAGCTTATGTTGAGGATGAAGGAAAACTTACAATGGGATGGGCTAACAGTTCCCCAAAGTTATAGATGTTCTCCCCAAGTAGAGCTGAAAGTGACAAATCGAAAGCCAAATCCTGAAATACACAGATATGATCAGACATTAGCAATTTGATCGGTGACTCTAGGGAAGCTACATTAGTTAACAACTTTTTTCTCCGGTTTCCTCTAAGCTTCACCAAATTTCTTAATTCTTATCCACTGTCGCTAACAGGAAACTTCATAAACAAAACATTAGAAGAAAATACATAAAATTACAGGGGCATACCAGCTTAAACGATTCTGAGAGGTCCTCCACGGACGTGTATGCAAGATAAAGTAGAGCACTTTTGTAGAAATCAGAAAATTCTTGACGGGACTTATGGTACTGAGAAGACACCCAATAGAAGTTGGCATAGACCGATGGATCAATGTCAGTCATACTATCAAGAGAGCTCTTTCCATCGTCCAAGATTTTCTTGCACTCCTTCTGATCACCTTGCTCAAGCTTGAACAGAGCTTTTTGTGTTTCAATATAAATGATTGGTTCAGTAATCCGAGGCTCTTTAGTAGCTCTAAGCTTCTCAATCACACTTTCAAGATAGCTAACTGCAGCTTCTTTCTCAGAGTACTGTCGAGAGACCACCACAGCAAAATGCGCAAGCTTCAGAAGATTGATCTTCGTCTCAAAGTCAGTGATGAAATTGTGATAGAACTGAATTAGAGCATCACCAGCCTGAAATCAAATATTTACATTACAACAAAGACACAATCACAAGAACTTGGAAGCAATCGAAATTGATTGATAACAAAACTATGAAAACTCACGAATTTTAGTAAATCTATAAACCCTAAACCTAAATTTCTTCCAAGACCCTAACTAATAAAAAACCCTATCATCTTCCAAATCAGATCTCTAACTTCTGTTACTCGGAAGTAGACACACAGATTCTACGAAATTTCTCGAGATCTATGAACCCTAAATCCTTAAGGACCACTACTAAACCTGGATAGATATGGAAACGTATCACTGCTACGGAGGGGAAGCAAAAAGGACCTGAAAGACAGCGAGAGCGATGAACTGTTCGAGCTTAAGGGTGAGTTGATGCCAGAGCTTTTTCTGATACAGATCTGCAAGGGAATTGTACCATTCACCGAGCTCTGGATGGGCATTTTTCAGAGATTCCAAGTATTGAAGAGCAGCCATGGCGGAAGCAGCAGAGACGAAGACGATGATGGAAGGAAGGAAGAAACGAGTTTTGCGAAAGCTCTCGATCTCTTATATATTTCAAGCTCTGCGTTAAAAGAAGAATCCTAAAAACCCTTTTCTCTTCCTCTTTTTGCTAATCAGATAATCCATTAATTTTAAAAGAAAATTAAACTACCGGGGCCAAAGTCTAAATTTATGAGTTTTTAGGGATGTTTTATGTAATTCAAAACTATAGGTAAGGTGGATTTGTAATTTAGGATTCGGTATGACCGGACGATGTTTTGAAAACCGGAACAGAAAACGAACCGGAAGTTTGTTCAAAAATAAATTAATTACAGATCAATGCGATTTGACTACTAAAAAAATAAAAGATTAATCTTTCAGATCAAGTGGTGATTTCCGGTTAACCGGAAATATTATATCTTTTTGTTTTTCCGACTTAGTTCGGATTTTTTTTTCTTAGTCGATCTTTATTTTTGTTTATCTAGTTTAGTTTGTCGGCTGAAATATGTTTTTTCCTTTTTTTCTTTTCTCTTTCTACAATTTTTACTCTTCAATCCCGTTTGCTTCTGTTAGAATTAGCCATCGAGCTTCTCCAATGATAGAGTAATATCTTCGTCGCTATATCCTCAAAGTGAAGGATTGAAGACCTCTTTGTTAGGTCATAGGCGGAGCTTCTTCTTGGAAGTGGGATTGAGCTCGAAGTCATAAGGTTAAATCAATATTTGAAGCGGCTATAATTGTAGAAAGAAGGTCCCTGAAGCATGATTCCAAGTCTCCATCTACTAATCGCCAGCAAAAAGAATCAAGTCAGATCCAATTCTTAGTCGTTAAGAAGAATCGAGATGATAAGAGAAGTGGGCCCGTATATTTTCCTAACTATACACGTTGATGGTTACGTGTCTTTAATGTTAGTGGGTTCATTTAATATAAGCTTTAAAGAGGCTTGTATTTCATATAATGAAGTTTGGTCGACAAAAAAAAAAATATTATAGTTTCAGTCTATGTTTTACAATGATTTTTTTTTTTACAGTTGATAATAACTAAATACTGCAAATCTAAAATAATTAATAGGAAAAAACTAATTTCAATTATAGGTTTATTTTGAGAAAAAATAAAAAAAAAAGTTAAGCCAAAAATGAAACTTTTATTAAGATCATTTCGTAGTTCAAAAGATATCAAACCAAATTTTTGATAAAAAAAAAAAAGATATCAAAACAAATTGAAAAATGAGTTTTTATTTTGTTTTTTTTTCGTCATGAGTTTTTATTTTGTATATATTAAATTTAACCAAAATAATAATAATAAAAAATATACGCAAGGTCACTTTCACTTCTTCATCGAAATTGTGTTCAATTTCTTTTATTTGTTTTAATGATTGTATTTGAATGGTTTTGTGAATCATGTAAACTTTTATGAAATAATATAATAGATTTGCCGTGAAACAAAAAAAAAAAAGTATACGCAAGCCGGTTGGGTCGAAAGTCTTTTTCTGGTTTAGAAAGCCGGTTCTAGGTTCAATTCGGGTTTTCATGAAATAACCGGATTAGCTCACTTTTCAAATCACACTGGTTCCGGATTTCATATTTTCTCGGGTCGGGTCATTCCTAAATGGATATTTCGATTTCTCCTCTTTTCCCACTCCACTCCTGGAGCTTTCAGGGAGAGAGAGAGAGAGAGATCGATGGCAAACAACGACGATTTTGATGAAGATGATCTTATCAAAGCCGTGGAAATTATCGAGGCCATAGAAGCCAAGAAGCGCCTCCTACCTCCTCCGTCTCTTCCAACGTTTGTACCGGCTCCTCCGGTATCGGAGATGACGACGACGACGACGATGATTTCATCGACTGTATCTCACCCTATGCAGTTACAATCCTCCGCGGGACAAAAACGGGACCAAATTCAAGTTCGTGATCCTTTCATCAGCTATTCTCCGCCGAGAGAACTCTCTCAAAGAGTAGGCGGTTTCAATGACGCGTTAATGGATTACTCTAACTCTACGGTTACTGCTGCTAAACCAATCTCTCCGAACTCTTCGAATCGTTGCTGTGATAGTGAGAAAGATCTCGAAATTGATCGATTAAAGGTTTTAGGGTTTCGTTTTCTTATTACGTCTCTGTGATCACAAAGATGTGTAGTTTCTCATATTGTTCTTTGTGGTATGTGATAAACAGAAGGAGCTGGAACGTGTCTCGAAGCAATTGCTGGATGTGGTATATTTCATATCTTTGAGTTTTCAGTTCATTGAAGTTTTCATGTTTCCTTGTTTATAGTGTTGAAAATCTCTTTGATTGTTCCAGGAACAAGAATGTTCTCAGCTTAAAAAGGGGAAAAACAAAGAAATGGAGTCTAAAAACTTGTGTGCTGAT